CGACAGGTACCTGAGCTAATGCAAGCCCTAAAGGTTCAACTTGGCACATCCTGGTTGGCAGACCCGCCACGGTCAGGGCGTTTCGACCGGGGTCGACTTACCAGGTACCAACGTCCGCCGATTGGAAAGTTTGTCCGGAGGCGCACCGAGCAATGCCGCCGGTAAGCTAGGCAAAACAGGGGCAGGCTTCAGGCACAGCGAGAATCCAGCACACCATCAGCAGAGCTTCCCGTTCGCTTGTGTGCGCCCACGTGTCGTGGTGCTGCTTAGCGGCACATCCGTGCTCAAAAGAAAGGTTGACGATCTAGCCGCCGCGCCTGATGTGTTGTCGATTTTGTGCGACAACAACACCTTTCAGAGCAGGCCCGTGTGAACTCGCTTCGCGCTGTTTTCTGCACAGAAATCAGCCACCGGAGAGGATTCTTCGCTGCTTGGGGACCGGCGTCGGTTCGCAAACGGCTTTGGTGCCCAGTATGTTATGTGCACGCAAATCGTTGCAGATTGTATCCCAGTACGTCAGGGTGCATACAATTTCGCCCACAAGGAAAACCTTGTTGAGGTAAAGATCGTCCTTTGCTTCGAGCTTACCATGTGGTGGAATAATGGATCCCTAACCAGCAGCCCATCCTTTGTCCCACCGTTGATTCCCAATCGATCGTATCTGCAGTTTGCTCGGCCTCGAGGAAAAGAGGTCGCCTTCAGCCGGGTAACGCTAACCAAAGTCCCACCTCGAAAGCTCCCATCAAACACAGCGTAAGATGTATCATGGTGATCGTGATAGCTGTACCCGGTCAAAGCATCCGGACTTCACGAGGATTCTGCAAATGCAACCCTCGGATCACAGTTGGCCCTGTAGCCTTCCCACCATTCTCCTCTCCGCGAGCTTCATGGGCTTACTTTCCTATGGTTGTCGGGATTCCCGTTCTGCTGTGAAGGAACCACATCGCATCCATGATTCTCCCCACGAGGGTAGTCGCTTCGGGTCTGCGACCAAGCACTTGGATCACTTTCTGGGTCATCGCAACTGGAATATCCCCATCCCGCGGTTGTGGAGGACCCGCCAACAACAGTCCGTGTAACCAGCCGAGTTGACGTCTTCTCGATACCGGGTATCCGCTTCGAACCTTGTCCTTGTTCGGACGTCTGTGGCTCTTCGCTCAGAGTCTCGTGCGCAGCCAAGGAGAACGACCCCAAGCTGGCAGAATCTGTTGCCGTAGTGTTGGAGAGCGTGGTATCGGGCACGTAGAGACCAGACTCTACATGTCCGTCCGACGCCAATCACTCAATGCGCCAGGAAGCGATGGGTCTCAAGTGAACAGAAATGACTCGCTTGGATAAGTCAAATAGGCTTTACCAAGCGACTGGTTATCGCTGGAACCTTACAGCCCCGATAGAGTGAGCGACTTGTGTCGCTACCAGTTGTCAATGCACAAACAAGGGTAGGATTTCCGTTGAAAGGTGCATATCCTCATGCATGGAGGTGGTCCTCCTTGACCAGTGATGAGCTGGAACTGCGAGTGGGAACGATATGTTCACGGTGGTGGTGGAAAAGCCAGAACAAAGAACACTCGGTACCTGCAAGGGACTCGAGCGGAAAGCCGCCACTAACGGTGTGGATCCAGGCAAAACTCACGAAGTGACTGCAGACCCAATAGCATAAGTCACAACTTGCGAAAACCATGATCGAAAGGACGTGGCTGGGAGTAAACCGTATACCGGGTTCTGAAGACCAATGGAAAACACGCACTAACGAGTACCGTAGCGTGCAGGTCAGGACTCAACAGTCAGCTTCTCGGAAAAACAACATAGGTATGCACGGCGCAAGAATGGGTTTCCCAACATCGAGAAGACTGGCTGCGATGGCCGGTGTCCGATAGTGTCGACCGGGGTATCTCTCGTCACGCACAGAGGAAGCCATTTCCGGCGGACCTCGAGCCCGGTACTGACACGAGAAGTTGAACATGCGTCACGGAAACAAGTGAAGCATAGTCCTCAGCCGTCCTCGAGAGGTATCGTAGTCCATCAGTGCAATAAGTGTCCGAGCGTCTGGTCCACAAGATTGTAACTTCCTGGGCTCGGCTACCGAGAACTCGTTCGAGTCAGTCAGATCAATGCAACCGTGCTGCTGGTACTGCTGCCACGAGATACAACGGGTGCTCCACTTTCTCGGAAGGCGCCAACGGTAGCGGGGTGTGAGAGAAAAACCATACGGACTGTAAAATCCGCAGGATAAGCAGGATAGCAATGCGAGTGGTCAAGCCAGTTGAGAAAGCGCGAGAGAGGACGAAAAAGACGAAGTGTGGGAAAAGTAAAAAATCAATGACGGGCGGGTGAGAGTGGGAGACGCCCGAAGTCGCTGTTCGCCCACTTCCCTTCACTTGTCTTTCTCTTTCCCGTTTTCTCCAACTGCAACTCTGCCGCCACATCTGCACGTTACCTCGACTCCTCCAATATTTTCCTTCGCGATGGTCCAGACATCTCAGGATTCGAGTTCTGAGTTGATCCTCTTACCGAGGTCAATTCGCAGAGGGGAATTTCTCAGCCATCTGAAAATTCTGGCACACGGTCCACATGCTTGTAACCTATTCGGGCGCCAACTGCACCTCTTCTTGCCGCCCGCTTACTGTCTATTCCGTTGGCAGCCTCCGGTCATACCCAGCAGGATCAGATCTTGGCCTACGCGCACGAGCCAAGCGTTCATCAGCAGCCCGCACCTTGACGGGAAAGACTCTTGGAATAAGAGCAGGTGGTATCTCGTGTACGGCGCAATGCCGGGAAATGTTCCATCACAGCGGATTGGGTCATGATTTCCTTTCCACCATGTTCTGCCGCCAAGTTGTGCAGTGAACCAACCTCAGCTGCCTGTGTAATTCTCTTATTCAGCATTGATGAAGCGAACCAGGCAGACCGCTGCACCAGCAGCAATAATACCCACTATCAGCATCTGCCCTGCTCCGGCGGTACAGGCTCGGTAGTTGTCTCTGCCAGTCCAGCCCCGAACGACGCCCGTCTTCACGTATCCAAATACCAGCAGCACCAAAGCCATGAGCCCGATGCTCCACCATAGACCAGCCAGAACATCATCACGAGCGACGACGAAATATGGTATCAACGGGATAAAACCGCCGACGAAATAGCTGAGTGCCAGGGTGAGTGCTGACAGGTAAGGTCGATTCGTGTCTGGCTTGGCTGCCTGGAAATGGTTCTGCATGAGGAATTCTTTGAACAAAGGAGCTGACGCTTTGATGTGATCGGCAACTCGTGTTGTATCTTCTGCTGACAGTCCGAATTGCTCGAAGTACTCTCGGACGAAGTCCTTTGCAGCCTCGGGCTCATGCAGCACAAGCTGGCTACAACTTCGCTCTGTGGCCTTGAATGATTCGCTGTCATGGTCAGCCACGCTTGATTCTCAACCGAAGCTTGGAACTGAACCTACGCTTCGCTCTTTGCACCGACATATCCCCCAAGGCCCATTGATATCGCGCCTGCGATAAGCTCTGCAATTCCACCAAGGATAACAACTCTTGTGTCTCCCAGAGCTGTTAAACCAGCAGTGAGCGCGAAGGGCACGGTAAGGCCATCGGACAGCCCCAGTATTGCATCAGAAACGACCCTTCCACTGAGTTGGAAAGTCCAGCTGGACCAGAGCCACCTTCTCCGTCGTTGTGATTCGTTGACCTTACGATGTTCGGAGTGGCTTTGGCCTTCGGGAACTTCGTGCAAGGTGGACGTCCTGGATAGCAGTGGACGGTTGGCCTCTAGATCTGGTGCTGTTGGTAAGGTTTCTCGCTCAGGGGATTGTTGGGCGCGTCGGATTGATTGTTCGCACTTTTCGCGTGCCATGTTCACCATGCTATCACCGTATGGTTGATTGTCCTCGCCCAATGCCGCTGGAGAAATGACGCAAGCCCTGTAGGTTGATTTTTCCCTTTGGATTATACCAACTGTGAAAAGGTCCTTGCTTGATGTCTCACTTTACTTCACAGATGAACGCAGTGATAAATAGTGGCTGTGGCTGACAGGTGTGTGGTATTGCGATTCGTCAACATGGCTTGGACTGGCCAATCAAAAGCCACACAAATGTCAGCGACAAAATCTCGGCCACACGCGTCGCGTTGACTGCAGGTGTGACAGGCGAGATGATGTGTTCGGATATTCTGGCAGTAATCCCACATATGTCGAGGTTGACAATTCAATACGGGAGTTGCTCGCCTTTGCTTCTGGCCGTCGGTTGTGAAGGCCGAAGATGGACCTGCAGTGCACCAAGTGCAGGGGTTGGAGGCATTGGCATGTCTGCCACGACAACAGGTATTATTGATGACCGAGTCCCTTCTTCTGTAGAGGTGTGCAAAGCTGTGTGTACTCCTCTATTCAGAATGCTGTATCATCTATTGCCCGTGAGTCACGCAGTACACAGTCAGAAAGACCCAGCAGGACACGCGAGGCCGTATGGACCAAGTGGACGCAACAGGACAAATGCAATGGCATGTCTCTAAAGCAGGAGCGTCAAACGATTTCAATCTACACGCTCCAGTATCGCTCCCAACTCATCATAACGACTTCATTTCGCTTTTCACTCCCACCAGGTCAGTTCAAGCCTTGGTCACTCCCATCGCTATCCGCACTTGCCTCCAGTTCGTCGAGCGACCACGTTCTCCTGCCCTTCTGTGGCTGCTGAATGCCAACCGCCTGCCCATCGCGACATTTCAATGCTTCAATGCTTCAGTTCTGGAAGGAGCATGGCCTGCAGAAGGCGCCTCCCACATCATTCGGGTCGTATTTAGATCACCTTGCCCTTCTGCACTTCTTCATCACCTTGCATCACTTCGTCCACATCCAACACACCCAAGCATCGATTCTTGAGCTGTGCTCGTGCCATCAATTCTTAGCAGCTGCTGCATCCATTCTTTATCATCACGAGCTCCCTTATCATCAGCACCAGGCCTTCTCGTTGACTCTGCCTCTCCACCATAAAGCTGCACGATATTCCAACACTCAAGATGCAGAGCAAGACACTCCTCGTCTCTGCCCTTGTGGCTCTTGCCTCTGTATCCTTGGCTTCCGAGCACGAGCACGAGAATCGAGACTCTCACAACGACAACTTCGGCGACGTTCCTCTTCTGGCTCAAAGCACCAACGACAACGTTCAGGGACCCTTGCCAGTTCAAAAGCTACTCAGCTTTCCAGCACCGGTAGCTCGCCAGGACGCCGGCTCTCCATTCGACGACGAACTTGAGGCTCGATCACCCCATGCCCCGAGTCCGGCACACAGTGCTGCGGAACCAGCTGCGAAGCCCCAAGTCAAAGATGACGGCGCACATCAAGTCGATGCACAAGCTTTTCCCGAAATCGGCGAGTCGATCCACTTTGCCGCCCCGGACTATGTCCAAAGGGCTCTCCCCAACGATCCCAGAGCAGCCGAGCTTCTGGCCAAGGAGTTCTCTGGCACGAACGTGCCACAGTGGTATGCCAAACTGGACGAAGATGCCACCAACTACGATGCCACAATCACACCACCTCCCACCATGACCATCCAAGGTCCCCAGCAGGAAATCGTCGACTACTGGATCTCCAGCATTCTCATGTACAAGAGCATGATCTCCTCACAGCTCGACGAAATGATTCTCCTGGCGTCCTCGGAGTCACGAGAAGCCAGCCGTTTGTCTAGTGAAGCATCCTCATTATCGACATACGCCACCTACCACACCGACAGCCAACTGCAGACCAGCGCGTGGTCACAATCGAACCAGGCAGCCACCATGTCGTACGAAGCTTCCTCAATATCCAGCTTTGCTGCCTCGGCGTCTGAAGCCGTGTTCACGGCTGCTGACGATGAAGACGAGCAGAGCGGAGCCTCATCCACAGACATGACATTGGCGCTGGGTTCAAGCGTTCTCGGTGCTGTGGTGTGCCTCGGATTGGCTATTGCGCTGTGAAGAGATGGACTGCAAGGGTCGTTGTCGTCATGGTCTGTGGTCGGAGACAAGGGTTGAAACAACAGTATCAGGTTAGAATAGTCGTCAAGTATTATCGTTAGTGATGAATTGATCACCTCCAGCCACCGACTCTGCCCTCGTCCCATCGTGCTCGCATTTCCCGCCTCTTTTCCAAGGTCGTGGTACCTTCTCGAATCCTCCTCACCCACTCCGTCACCTCCTTCTCACTGGCTTTTCCTCCGCTGGCGGCACCATAGTATGCATCCTCGTCGTTCCCGCCTTCCAGAAAGCTCTCCTGCATAGCCTTCAACAGTGCCTCTTGCTCACTGATACTCGACACCAGCCTCTGGTACATCTGCCTCGGGCCCCAAGGTGCCACAGCGTCGTCCATTTCACTCTGTTTCCTCCGCCATTGTGTCTGCAAGCTCGCGTGGTTCAACAGCAGCTGGGCTGTCTCGTCGCGGAGTTGGCGGAGTTGACCCTCCAAGTGTGAGACTTGTTGGGCCAGGGCAATGTTTGCCTCGATCGCCGCGTTCAGAGGTTGCAGCGAGGACGCATAGCTGGGATGCTGGCTTGCCAACGAGGCGGTGAGGGCAGGGTTGTTCAGGAGGGGGTGAAGCTCAGTTAGGGGTTTTGACTGAACATTCGCTGGGAGCCAGCGGTCTGTGAGTGCGGGAGGAGGAATGGGCTGGTATTGTTCTTGCTGCTGCGGGTGGGGAGCGGCAATTGGAGTGGCCGTCGCTTGGGTCGGTAAAGGAGGCTGTGGGCGCGGAGAGTCTGTCTTTGGCGGGAATGGGGGAGCAGAAGTGTTTGTCGGTGTGGATGAGAGAGTGGGCGTGCCGGAGCGAGATGGGTCGGCAGATTGCGTGAGATGGGAGATGGGTTTTGGAGGGGGAGGTGGTGCATTGCCAGAGGTGGGCGAGAGTGGTGGAGGGGGCGGCGGCGGTTGGGAGCTTGCGCTGGCAGGGAGTCCAGAGGTGTAGAATGATTCTGACATGATGAGGACGAGGAGAAGGGGTTTCCCCTAGATGTACATGTTTGAGTCTCCTGGACCGATTGTACCTCGTAGGAGGGAACTGATGCCAGTCAATGGAGCCAATCCGATGCGGCAGCCTTGTGGGCGAAAACGCGGAGACAGACAAGGCTGAGATTCGAGCTGGAGTTCGGATCTCAAATTGTTCTCAGATCTTCTTCACCATGCCTACCACTGAGCACAGTATCGAATTAATACTCCTTGTTCCTCAGTCCCTCTTACTGGTTTTCTACAGTGCATTTTTGTAAATCATCAGCCCGTTTCTTAGGCAGGCGTCTGCCATCAAACATCTTTCGGTGCACTTGCTCAATCCTTCAGACAAGAGCGAGAAAAATACCACGACCACTATCCTACGGGAGCCTGGACACTTTCGAAAGCTCATTCCAATCTTCTCCCTTTTCCCTGGGTGAGGCGTTTAACCCGCGACAATGGATTACCAGAATCGCGCTGGTTCAAAGTTCGGCGGTGGCGGCGTGGCATCCCACTCTGCCACCAACGCCGACCGGCGCGAACGACTGCGCAAACTCGCCCTCGAGACCATCGACCTGGACAAGGACCCCTACTTCTTCAAGAATCACGTCGGTTCCTTCGAGTGCCGGCTCTGTCTCACGGTGCATCAGAATGACGGCTCCTACCTCGCCCACACTCAAGGTCGCAAGCATCAGACGAACCTGGCCCGCCGGGCGGCCCGAGAACAGAAAGAGGCACAGAAGGATGGCAATCTCATGGGTGCGGGCATGATGGGCGTGCAGGTGCGCAAGAACATGGTCAAGATCGGCCGGCCGGGGTATAAGATCACCAAGATCCGCGATCCGCTGACTCGCCAGGTCGGCCTGCTGTTCCAACTGCTGTACCCGGAGATCACTCCCAACGTCGAACCGAAGGTCAGGTTCATGAGCGCGTTTGAGCAAAAAGTCGAGGAGCCCCCGGATCGGGATTACCAGTATTTGCTCGTGGCCGCGGAGCCGTACGAGACGTGTGGGTTCAAGTTGCAGAGTCGCGAGGTTGATCGGCGCGAGGGGAGATATTGGACTTGGTGGGACGCGGACGCGAAGGAGTTCTGGTGCCAGGTGCTGTTCAAGACGGAGCGGGATGAGCGGTATTCCAATGTGCCGGGCCTGGCGCCTGCCGGGGTGAGGAGATGAGGTGACACACTTTAAGGATGGAAGCCCATTGCAATCGGATCAGGTACCGGGTTGTGTTGGACGAGTGAGGAGAGTGGACGTTCGATGGATACCTAACTCCAGCGCCTGTGTCCATACCCCGTGCGGATTGTAGTAACTTGAATGGTGTCCGCAAACATGCACAGACTCGACGCTTCAAACTCTAGCATGGATCATCCGACGGCAACCCACGTCACGCATGGGTTACCATAACGCAACGCTGCATTCAAGACGCAAGCTACCTCTGACCACAAGACTTCGGTCGTGGCATGATGCAGATCAACGTCGCAATCAACGTCGAGCACGCGTTTCGAGCGGGAGGGCTAGCAGAAGCAAGCGAGACGCTTACGGCCTTCAGGAGTGCGCATAGACCAGCATTGCTTGCTGTACTCGGCTTCAGGGTCGCTGGACTTCCAGTCGATCTGGACGAAAGGCGGCACGGAGACACGATCCCTTATTCAGGTCATAACCGCACAGTTGGGGCAGCGTCGTGAATTGCAGATCAACTTCTAGCCCCAGCCAACATCAAGACATGGCCAGGGAAGCTGTGCTTTTTGGGGGGACGACAGCATGTCCTGAGTCGAGACACAGGCAGCAGCACGGGTTCACCTTGGTATTCTGTTCGAATGAGAATGTGCAGGGTACATACGACCTAATCGCTGTGATGACGGCGAACGAGCAGATAGATCCAAACACAGATCGTTGGAAGATGATGATCTATCCTGTCTGACATCAATTCCTCCCAGGTTTCTGCACATCTAAGAAGCGTGTAGGATCATACGACGTAATTTCAGCCGCATGAAGCAGTGTCTGTTGTATCTACTGTAGCATTCCAGCCGCTTGAAGTAGTATCTGTTGTGTCTACTATACCCTCACTCAGAGCGGAATCTGAAGTTGTAAGAGATGGACTCGATGATGGAGGCTTTCATTGGCTCAACGCAATTGTGATGGCCAGGCCCGGATCCTCGTATCCTTTTTGCTCGTGTGACTGGGACTGCTATTGTCAGGTACGGATCACCGCTCGAAGTCCCTGCGAGGCTGGATGAACCCACGAATAATTCCCACAAAGCGTTGCCGGACTTCCCTTTCCCTAGAAGGGCAGCATGCTACACTAATGCATCTTGCATATGTGCTTGCAATGCTGCGAGTAAGTCGGGGGTAAACCCCATTGTGGATCAGGAGGATGCCAATGTTGAGGGAACGTGACAGCTGAAAGTAGCCAGGGTCCGCTTCGGATTCGCGCTTCGTGATTTGAGGAGCATGCTGTGCAGCTGTGCAGTTTTGGCGTTGTTTTGCACCATACTCTTACACGAGCCAAGTTAGTGTACTCGGTGAGGTGTGCGCATGGCGATTGTAGGCGACATGTAGGGTGAAAGACACATGAGTAGGCCGCAATCAGCCTTCGGACTGTTGTACATATGTAGGACGCATGGAGGCCAGCCTTTGTAGGGGCCTAGAATAATAAGACCTCTCAAGCTAGAAGTCATTAAGAGGATCGCTCCGTCTTGTGCGTTGTAATCCTGGGTATGTATGCCGTGTGTCATGAATGTCGTAAATGCCGTGGGCACTTTTGGCGATGCATTCCGAAAAGGCAGATTCGTGGTCTTCACTTTCGGAGTCCAGCTTGGTCTCACCACGCTTTCACTCTTCCGTGCTTCCCTCGGTATTTTCACATCATGGGTCCCTGGTATCTATACGCCGGCCCTCTGCGCCTTGCCTTGCATCATGACATCTCCATACTCCTTGAGGCTGACGTCCCGATCGACAATATTGTCCCAAGCACGGTGCATGTCTTCCTGCGCCTTCTTGTTCTTCCACCCCCCACCAGGCTGATTAGCAATGTCCTTCTCATTAGCAGCTAATGCGGGGAAGGCTGCCGTGTCCCCTGCTCCCCCCGACTTAGGTTGCGTGCTCGTGTTCGCGTTCGCGTTCGCGAGCCTAGCCGAGCTACGTACTGCCGTGCCGTTCGCCATTGCCGCTGAGGTGGGTGCAGGATCTGGAAGTAGAGCGGCAGTGTATTCGGCTTGGGTGGGTTGGATTCGAGGCGGTGAGAGTTCCCCTGGAGCGGCAGCGTTGAGGTGGTCGTTTGCGGGCGTTACAGCACGGTTGGAATCTCCCGGGCGAAGATGAGGATGTGCGGGCTGCATTTCACGATCAAAGACCTCGTCATCGGCGACAGTGGTGTCCTGGAGTTGAGAGGGTGTGGAGGAGGTTGAGGTCGTCATGGTTTCGTCTGCGTCGTCCATGGCGAGCGCGGCGAAGTGAAGTCCAGAGCTGATAAGGTGTCGTCGGGTCAGGTGAATTGTGCTGCGACAGAAGAAGTGAAAAGAGTCATGTACTGTGACGACTGTCGTGCCGGGTGAAATCGAAATGAGGTGACAACAAGTTGGATGCCACTTGATGCTTGATGCGGAGAAGCAATAATTAATTAGTCACGTAATGCTCACCCGGGTGACCCCGCGACGTCTCCTCAGCCTTGCTGAGTCACCCAGCCTCGCCCTGGCACGACCCGGATCTGCTATAGGAGCTATGAGTAGGCTGCAGGTACGATAATACATGGCGCCTCTCAAGCAGGATGGAGAATATCCTGCCGAGATATGGAACGCTGCTACAGTGAAACGGAGTACTGTAGAGAATGTGGCCACCTATGATCAAGGTTATCTTCGAGACATCTACGAAGTCTCTCATTCTACCTCTCAAGTTGTTTCAACCCCGTACACTTCCATCTGCATGGTTGTTTCGGTATTCAATGTCGAGAATCTCGGTGAATATCTCCCTCTATGTCAGTATTTTGTATGTAAGTCCCCCTCCATCAATCAACTGGTGCTGTCACTCTGGATATCAATAGCGCGGACGATCATGCAGGTACGCGAGCGTGGCATTGGAGACTGCCGAATTTCTTGTTGACTTGTTCTGCAACTACTGCTGCGGCTTCCCGTAGTCAACCGTTTGCTTTGCAAGAGGCAAAACTATCAAGTCGATCCGTCTCTTGGGTTTTTCAAGGATGACGTCTTCGTAGTTGAGGCCTTCTGTAAGCTTGATCTTTGCTAGGGTGTCGACACCTGGGGAGTCCTCTCTCTTTCACTTACCCAAGACCTTGCCGCACTGCTTGGCCTTCACGAAACTCGCTCCCTCACCCTCATAGGAAGCCCACCCCTGATTCCCTGCAGGAGAATCACACATCAGTATCCATGTTTATGAGGGAGGAAGTACCAATATCGCACCATGTTCATGGCAGCAAGCGGTTCATACACCCTGCTGTCGTCTGCTAAGCTGATGTCGAATCGCTGTAGGATGGCAGTGCTGGTTGCGATGCCCTCGTAGGTGGCGAGAGCGCGCCCGAGACAGCTGCGCGGCCCAGCATTCCATGAATGGTATTCTGGACACCCCGGGGTGAGTTATCTTGAACTCAGAGTTCTCCCCCTCTCGGGGGACGAGCCTGGGCTTACTGAAAGGGCTATAGGAGATGCTCTCTCCATTCTCTGTGAACCATCGGTACGGATTGAAGACAGTGGCGTCCTCCCCCCAGACCTCAGGCATCCGCGAGAGGACGTAGTTCTGATAGCTAACAACGTCGCCCCTGGTTTGGGTCAGTCACGACTGGCTCGATGGTAGTCACGGGGAAACATCAAGCCTACCTCCTGATGCGACGACGAGGCATGTTGAGCTCCGGCACCGCTGGAAGAACGTCATCCTGTGCTGCCTCCATTTGACCGGCTGGAGAGACGGTGTTCAGGCGCGCGGTCTCGTCCCACATTGCATTTGCAAATCGCATTTTCTTCGCGACCCAGTGTCAGCGTAGCGGACCTAGGGGCGGCCACTCAGACCGAGGATTGGTGGACGTACCGCCGTGTCACCATACCCGAGATAACCAGTAGTGAAGCCCAGCTCCTTGGCTTCAGCTCGAATCTTGTGTGCAGCGTCTAGGTGCTTGTTATCCTTGTGATGAATTTCCTTCATGAGCCATGAGATGCTATACGCGGTTGTATCGCCTTCGTAGGTGGCAGTTAGTGGCTGGGCCAAGTTTGAGAGTTCACGACTCACGACCAGCTACGAGGATTCCAAACACCATGCCACCCAGCGTGTGCGGATCGTCTGTCGATTGCATGAAAAGGTCCAGAAGGTCCACGCCGTCGTCCGGGCTGGGCTTATAGCCATTCTTGATCATGTCAAGCCGCTTCTTGATGAGACCATCGATTTGCCCGTAGAAAAGGGCCACAGCTCTCCTGCTAGTCTTGTCCTCGCCGGATAACTTCTCGGTGAGTCTCCAGAGAGGGTCACGTCTCCGTCGATCAAACACTGTAACAAGAGCACAAACACATCAGACAAGACTGCACAGAGGGCTTGTGCAATGTCAGTGGGGAAAACACACGATACAGAGCCTCGTCCAACGCTTCGACGTATTCTGGTGTCTTCTCAAGACTCTTGGGATCGTCAGACATGATGTCCAGCGCGAGCTCGTCCTCGTGGAAGGCGATCCGGAGGAAGAGACAGAACATGAAGCGACTCATCAAGCTCTGCAAGTCAAACGTCTTCTGCTCCTTGGCCAGGTTCGACAGCAGACGCATCAAAATGTCAAGCCAGTGGTGCAGGGACCGCGTGATGTGAGTTTCAAAGTTCCGCTTGCTGAACGCTCGAGTCGCCGCCTTGCGCTGTAAGTGCCATTCGGCGCCATCGGCGACGAAGATACCTCTTCTGTGCAGTTCGCCAAAGACGTTCCGTGTGAATGCGCCGCGTATGTAGTTCTTACTGTTGTGCTTCTGGATGTGCTCGAGATATACGGGATGGTTGATGACATGCAGACGGAAGAAGGGAACTGTCATCTCGTAAGCAGGCCCGTAGCGTTCATACAAGGAGTACCAGGCTTTGCAGCTGGCAGCGCCGTTGGTTTGAAGCTCGCCAAGGTTGCCAACGAATGGTTTCCCCTCGGGTCCGCCAATCCAGGCTGAGTTGGCAGACCGCGACGTCCAGAAGCCTCTGTTGCGGTACGTCCAGCAGAGCCCTGCGATGACACTCAACGCCCGTCGCCGTGGTATAGTACTCACTGAACGCGGTGCTTACCTGCAAGCGCGAACAACAGAGCCAACGCGGCATATACAACCGCAGCGCTCATGGAGATGTTCAAGGTTGATGGCGGCTGCTTGAGGTGCCCGTCCATGGTGTTCGACTCGAATCAGTCAATGTCATGGAGTTGTCAGAGATGAGAACGGTGGTATTGTGCCAGCCGCGAAATACGACTAATCTCAACCCTACCCTCTGGTTTTTGAGGGGCGAGACCAGTGTCTGCTATCTTCGTTGATAGGGATGAGTCGTCAAGCAACACGTACCTCCCCAAAGGCAAAGATGTTCCAAAGATGAAATGCATTGAATACCGTTTGCAGATCCCTGAAGCCAGAGCGGGCTTAGCCCGGCGTTTGTGCCGGATACCAATGGTCGCTTTCTCAAACCCCGAGCAGGGTCACAACGTACGAACAGGCCCCAGCGGGATGGAAGGTCCGAGGCTGCCGAGCAGAGAGCAGCAGGTCCAATTAGCATAGAGATGGTTTCGCCGCGTTGGCGACAACCAGACCTTCTGCCGTATATATATACATGTCGGTCAAGTATTGTATCCACCGTCCTGATTGCAGGGCTCACTCCTAGCGTAGCCTTTGTATGTACTTCTCAGAGCCCCCTTATATATGCTCCCGCCCATGCTCCCATTCGCCTGTAATAGCGCGGTTCGTGTTGCTCCAGAAGGTGATCTGTACACGTATATATTGCACTGCGAAAAGATGCCGGTGCTAGCTAGAAGTTTGCAGGTACTCTTTCCCTGCGCCACTATTCAGCACCTTCAACGACGACCCTTTCCACCCAGGACCGATTTGGCGGTTCGCTTCATGTGCTAGCGTGTTGGGCGCTCCCTGCTCACCCGTAAAACTCTCACTTCCCGGTAGCTCGGCGATGGGAGCGGGCTCTTGCTTCCTGATCGGCTGGCTTCCCTCGAGCTCGTTCCTCAGCGCCCAAGGATAGGCAGGCCGCCCGTCAGCCTCGGATACCATCTGTCCGTTCGCATCGTAGACCGGATGCACGGTCGACGTTGTAGACATGGGAGGTTCGTCTGACGGACGCGGCTTCGCGGGTTTTGTACCAGTGTCGTAGTCGTTGGTCTCAACCATTGTCTGCGAGGGCTGTTGGGACTTTCGACGCTTACGGCGCCGCAGAAAGAGAGCTAATAAAATGCCGAGAAGAATCAGTGCGCCGACGCCCACCCCAACGCCGATGCCCACTTTGGCTCCAGAGCTGAGCCCTGACTGAATGGCACCGCTATTTGCTCCGCCTGCTGTGTCAGTTGGAGAGGATGTCGAGGCCGCAGTGGTGACTGTAAATGTTGTGCCGCTTGACGTGATGACCGTGACGGAGCTACTGCCAGACACTGTAGAAGCCCCTCCCGTGGAAGTTACGACAGAGGAGCTATCGCCAGCGCTGGTGGTGGTAAGGCCAGAGCTCTGCGACGATGCCGCCGACCCAGACGTTAGGGAAGAGCTGGGGAAATGGCCGACGAAGAATTGTATGCTCTGTCCGGTGCTCTGCGGTAGCGAGCAAACACTCGTGAGGGTGTTCGAATCGCTGAACGCCACGGTGGCGGACGCCGCATCGGTGCAGCTGCAGAACGATCCCGCCTGGAGCGTGGAAGGATTTCCTTCCTGGGAACAGATGGCCCATTCACCGTTGCTGTTGTCGCAAAGAGTGAGGGCGACCCATGGCTGATCTAAGAAGTGTCAGTCAAAATGACCCAAAGGCTTTGACTTATGGGCACTCGCTCACCGAGTTCCTTGTCAGGACAAGTCGCAGCCTCGTAATCTGGATCGGTGCACCCAGCCCAATACGTCAAATAGCTTCCATAACCATCACCGTGAACCCCGAAGCAAGCGTTGTCAGCTAGACAATTGTCGCCCGCTCCACAACAGGTCTGATGACCAAAAGCATCGTTGCCGCATGGGATAAAGCTCCCGTCCAACCTTTCCCCTCGCGCAGTATAGCACGTCCCATTGCTAATGTAGGGGTTCGGGTCGCTCATCGTGTTGAGCGCATTCTAGCGGCTCTGCGATACATGGTCTGACAAGCAGACCGTGCCTAGACGACAGAGAGGCGGATATATTGTCTTCGCCACCGCCAGAACTGCGACGCTGTGACGTCTTGGGCACAGGGATCATGGCTGCGACGTTTCCTTACATCATAGGGAGAAAACGAAGATCGTGGTGAATCGACCTTCCTCGCCAATCGCTTATTTCATGGCCGCGAAACTTGGTTCTTAACGCCTCGGCAGATCGCGTTGAGACTCCCGTCTTGCGCTGCGACGTGATATCGAACATTTTCATCAAGGGGGAAGATATTAACCCCAAAGGCTGGCATGGACCCAGCAGCACAAAATCCTGCGACATTTCTGAAAAAGAGACATGGCAAACCACATGAAGAGGTTTGAACAAAAGGTAGAATGAGGCCGCCAAGCTTACGGAGCGGCATTCTGCCGCCTGGTGAACGTCCTCCTGGCCGTGCTGCTTGGCCGTACCAACCGAGTGCAACATTTTTGAGGGAAGAAAATCAGTAGACCAAAGGACGGTTATGCTTTACTATGGTACGGAGCGGATGATGAACGTCTGTTGACGGAGAAGGCTAGATGGCGGGATGCTGTTGAAGTCTTAGACATGCCCGCAACAAAACTCAGCCTGGCAAGCTCGTGGTGTCAGATACAGTCAAGCTCACTATACTTCAAGCAGACCGTGACACTACCTCTAACCACCCCCGACTGGCCCTTAGTTCATTTGCACCATGCACACACGAGATCGAGGGCAGAATCGAAGACGAACCTTTACAATTCATTCCAGTATCACGTGTTACCACTGAACATTATACGGTACAAGTCCACTATCAACACTGGTTGGCACAACTCAGCCTCACCCCGCTCCGTCCAGAGAAAGTAATGCTTCTTTTTAGAAAACCATCAACCGCCCAGAATCGCTCCCTCAGGCCCTCAACAGCTTCACGCCATCTAGAATCCCTCGTTGTGAAGCGTTCACGCGTTCACACCTGCAATGGGACCATTGAAGCCCGAGACGTTAAAGCCAAGGTCAACGTAGTAGAAGACGCTGAACTCAACAGCGACGTGTTCGATGAGGCCCTTGTCGTTGATGTCGAAGATGTTCATTCCCTGGACGGCCTGTGGCGGCTGGGGGGCGTTGAAGTTGCCCGGGTTATCGAACTTCCAGTACCAGAGGATCTGGTTGCAGTTGAACGGGACGAGCTGAAGATCGGTAATACCGAAGATAGGTGGCTGGGCCAGCACCACGTTGATGTAGCCAGCCTTGGACGGGAAGGTGAGGTCGCCCGGCTAATGCGTCTTGGTCAGTTACCGAGACTTGCAGTAAGTGAAGAAACCTACCTTGAGGCCAAGGAACCCATTGATCGAGTCAGACTGCTCGGTGAAATCGGAAGCAAGGATCTTCTGGGCTGTGGCATTGGCTTGTTGGATTTGATTTGGGTCGGCGTGCGCCAGGAAGAAGGCATAGTCGTGGACGATCTTTGTGGCCTGGTCTTGGGTAACACACTTCCCGCCATTACCTCCATTGCCCCCGTTACCATAGCCGCCGCCCCAGGACGAAGAAGGTGCAGCCGCCGCGACACACGCCATGGCGAGAGAAGAAATAACGCTGAGTGTCTTCATGATGGTACTCTTGGCGAAGCGAATTGAGCTGGAGAGAAGAAGGTGGGTAATGAACGACTGAAGGAAACGATTAGGATACTAGCAAATGCTGAAGTGGTTGACGAGTGTTTAGCACTGAGACGCAGAGGTGGGAGCGGCCTTTATACACGACTTTCAATGTTCATCGTGGGCAACACACGGGACCCATAAGGGATGAGAGGATCCGAGATCCTTCACCGCGCGCTGTTGCGCCTGAGTCTATCCGGCAGCACGGTAGATGGCGACTGGTAAGGAGGCTCCAACCCGAACACAACAAATTGCACGTTGCTTGGACCTCGTATCGTCTCTAATGAAATGCGAGCTGCACTTCCCTGATCGGACGGGAGTTGTCCTCTTCTGTAAGTGACGAGGCCCTGTCAGCGCTACGGCAGCCTCGTGTTGAATAATACGTGTTGATCTTCCTTACGGGAAAGTCCCTTGGCGGTATTTCTCCGAACCTTCATCCATAGGATCAGGGAGAGATAGAGCCCGGTCGACCTTGCCCTTTGTGTCACTCGAATACGTAAGGCTGGGAGGGTAAATCGATGCATCCAGTTTATCGTGCAGCCCTGCTAAAAATAAAAGATCAGCTCTGGCTTGAGCCTAGATGCCGATTAGCAGACGAGGTGCAGTGGACCGAGTCGGTGCTCTGAGAGATCCTGTAACATGCAAAGCCCAAGATGGGGAGAGCCCCCATAATGACACGTAAGCTATGGACATCATAAGCCATGTACAGATACAGAAGGTCGAGGTCGAGTGAGGTGACTGACGCCGTGATCCGAGGTTTTCAGCAGATTAAAAATGGGTGGCCGTGTTGTCCTGCCGCGGGAATCGGCCGACCATGAGCCATGGAGGCAACCAGGTGAAAAGGAACTTGAACTGAACTGAGATCCCTTGAAGCTGTGATCGCCGCATGAAACATTGCCTGGCGTCCGTGTCAGATCTGATGCCCTCGGGTTGATTATCCAATTTCCACGGTGAAATTCAGGAGAATGATCCTCGTATTGCACATCTGCAGGAGCCTCATCTAGCTATAGGTACGCAACGTGGATTGCAACATACAGACGGCCGCCACCGTAGTGTGTAGAAAAGTAATATTGCCTAGGTGAACAGGAGGGGCTGAAACGGTGAGTTCTCAAGTGAATGACAAGTGAGGGAAAGGTGAAAAAGGCGTGATTCACTCTACTGGGTAGGGCTCGCGTGGCTTGACAAGCCCGAAGCTCCGCATTTCAGCCTTGCGCCTTTTCAGGTGCCTCCGCAATACCACGAACTGCATACAGTTGGGCATCCCTGTCATGTCAGCACAGGGTGGCGCCTCACAGTAGCCTTCTTTGGCCATCCTCCGTTCCTATCATCGACCCACGACAACATGACCGTCCAATCTCCCCATGGTGCCGCGGCCAACAGCAACACGGACGACAAGGCCCTGGCTTCTTCAGCTCTTCGACAAAGCAAGCTATCATGGAGTTCAGATGGGAGACTGAGCGCGCAACCGCCGGCCAGCCCGACGTCGGAAGACAGGGATGAACTGGTGAAAGTTGCAAAAGAAACAATCTCGGTCCTGCCCGGTCTCCTCCTTACCAGACCAGACGCAAAGCCAGATGGCTACCTCTACGACAAGGAGCGAGTCGCACCGCTTGATCAAGGCTTCTGTCCAAGGCTACCAAAGACAAAGGTCCGAGTGATTAGCAGCGATACCATTGACGCTGCACTCCAACTCAGACGTGCTCCTTCTGACAAGCCGATCTGTATCCTCAACATGGCGAACGCAATTCACGCTGGAGGTGGTTTCAGAACCGGCGCCCTTGCCCAGGAGGAAGCCCTCTGCTACCGCACTTCATTGCACTTCACCCTCAAGCTCCGCTTCTACCCTCTCCCAGACAAAGCAGCCATTTACTCGCCCAACGTCCTCGTGATCAGAGACAGCCTTGCCAACGGCCACAGATTGCTCGACTGTCGAGATCCTAGCAAGTTGCCGGTCATAAGTGTCGTCAGCGCGGCTGCCATCTACCAACCCTCGGTCGGTTGTAAGTTGTGTCAACCCAGGGAGCTGTCACATAACTTCTACGCTAGAGGTGAGGACCGTAATCTTATGAGGGAGAAGATCCGAGTCATCCTCCGGACAGCCATCATGAACAAACATCGCAAGATTGTGCTGGGCGCCTTCGGGTGTGGGGCATTCCGAAATCCTCCCAAGGAAGTCGCTGGTCTTTTTGCAGAGGTTCTTCAAGAGCCAGAGTTCTCGGGCGGTTGGTGGGAGGATGTCGTCTTCGCCGTGCTCAACCAAGGTTCTGCTGGGAAAATGAACTTCAATTGGTTTGAGCGGGAGTTGGCTGGATTGATGGTGTGATAGCCAGAGGCACTCGCGATATATGTGCCCCGAAGTTCATCTTTCACCAGAGGTCCCATCGTTGTCAGCAGGTGCCTCCGCATAGTCACGATCACTCCTTGGTCGATGCACCTCCGCAAAGGGTTTATGGTAGGGCATCCGCCAGCCAGGACCGAGGAAGGCTATAGGCACGATGATCAGTGCACTCAGGAGGACCGTGTCTGCCAGGACTTCTTTCACGAAGCTGCTTTTGAAGATTTTCTTCATCGTCGCTCCACCTTCTGACACCTTTTCCTGTGAACGCAGTGACTCAACTTCACCACGCTTCAACTTGTTGACCGACCTGCACAGATCATATTGCAGCAGCCCTAGTACCTAGGTAGTAGGTAGCTGGTGCCTAGAGTCGACCGGTTCAATGATGTCACCACTTTAGATTATGCATCAACCCCGAGTTACCATCGGCAGCATTAGTGGTATCACGATCCTGTCCATCAGCCAGCTAAGCTTCCCAGTGTAATAACACCCTTGGTTTGAACAATTCCGCAGAACCGCCACCAACGCTGCAAGAAGCACAACAATGACACGGAGAGTGTGTTGCGTTGCTATGGAGCACAGATTCTACGAATCTCCAAGTCTCCAAACCCAAGCTGTATATTAGGCTGCTCAGTTTTCAAAAACTTGTTGATCAGTGATTTCACAAGCTTCAGTACTTGATCTGAAGCTGTTGGCAGAGAAAGCAATCCAGGTCCTGTAGTACGCGTATCGAACGTATTCAGCTCGTTCAATACCTCTCGGCTTTCTCCCCAATAGAGGCTACCAGCACTGAAAGGTTCGTCTGGGTTTCTTGCTGGCCTAAGGGGCTCTGACGAGCCTTGAAGTGATTCGAACCCACCTCGCTCAGGTACCCGTTGTCACTATCACATCCTGCCGTAGCTACGTAAATGAAAGGTCCATGTGCTTTTCTCAAGCGTCTAGTTCGCCGTCGAGGAGGCACTCCTTGGATGGCCATATACGAACATGTCCTTACACACCCAGCTTCTTTAACTGATATAGGGCCCATACGTGAAAGCTCGCAAAGACAATCTGCTGCTCCTGGAGACCTCATTTGAATGTGGTGGCAGATAGGTGGCAGAGGACCTGGAGGAGGTTTCGGTCAGACAGAGGACATTTCCGGAGTGCCTGTGTCGTCTGGGGCACTATCCCGGCAATCTCCCGAGACAGGACGGCCGTAACTTCTGCGTTCAGCGCAAGTCATTCTCATGAGGATATCCTGCTTGAAATCGACAGCAGGAGGATCCAGTGCTCGGCCTTGGAAAACACATGTGGGCAGGTCAGGAACAAAGGCCACAATTTAGAAGACAGAATTTAGCGTCTTGGCGAGGAATCGGAGGCACCATCTTCCGTACCGGTAGGCTCGCATGACCTGGTGGACAAAGGTTGAGGACATTCGCTGCTTGATGCCTGGAAGACTTTGATCTGGACAAGTTGCCTCACGGACCGAAGCTCATGGAGTGTTTGCAATCTTTTAGAGGCACAACCTTCGGACGCCGTCGAGCTGCATTTCTGACGCACGAGTAAGCCCTGCCTTGAAACGGATGGATTTCTCTCAGACTTCTCGACCCCATGTCAACATGGACTCTACAAGGCTTAGGAAAGCCTTCAAGTACCCCTCTGATGACGACGGAGACGGGTCGCAGGAGGCCATGGACGAAGAAGGTATGTGAGCGTATATGCTCTTGTGCTTTGGGCCTGCTACTACTGTTTTTCAAACCATTACAACGAGTTGATTGACGCTAACTGATCGATAGAACAAGAGCTTCTTTTACAAAACCTTCAGGCATCAGAGACGTCGACAAATGAGATCTACACCACGGTGTTCACATGTCTTCCGCTCGTCATCCTCCTGCCGTTTCTATGGTATCTATCCAAATCAACCTCAGGAACAATGGTTCTCCTATGTCTGTTGGGCATCACCTCGCTCATCTCCAGTGCCTACATAATGTACATGGTACCTGTTTCGACACCCCTAGGGTCTTTGTCCAACCTTCCACGAATCGCGTCATCTGCTCGGCAGCGACGGAATTACAGCGGTTCTCAGACACCCTTCCTCTTGACTTCTGATCAAAGCCCCATCAACCAGTACTTACCCTACCTCAACGCATTCATCTGCGCATTGTTGTTCCTTGCTTCTTGGGGTTATTGGTCGCGGAGTGATGTGCCAGAGGGTCTGTGGCTGTTTCTACTGCTTCCGGGTGTTATTTTTGGGATGGTCTTCATGGCGAAGCGGAGTATGGCGGAGATTGAGACCGGGTTGAGCGAGCTGCGTGGGATGCGATATCAATACAAAGGGGCGTGATTAGGGCTTGCTAGAAGCAGTGGCTGGAGTATGGGAAGGTGTAACACCCCCGAACCAGATGACAGTAGTCAATGGCCAAGGAATTGTCCCGCTAACAGATGTCTGCGATATGGTGTGTTGGTACAGATGCGCGCACTGAGACACCACTATCACGCCGGAATCTTTTCCGCCGCTTTGGTTTCAGGCACGCGCGAGCTCGGGAGGGGAGGAGGTTCAATCCAGGGCTTTTTCAGGGCGTCCTGGATGACGACCAGACATCCCTTTGGACCACTGACGGCGCCTAGGAAGACTTATTAGCATTGCCAAAGCCCCTGCACGGACGAACTTGACACTCACCATGAACCACCACAATTCCGTTTTCCGCATCCGATTGTAAAACTTTCAGGCTCTGGACTGTATTTCTCTGGCCACCCATATTTCCGGCCATCTTTTTGCCTGGATACACACGACTACCACCGCCTTGACTGGGACCGACTGATCCGTGCGATCTGTGACTGAGCGAATGACCGTGACTTCGTGGTTGACCGCCAAACCCCCATCTCTTCATTGGGCCTGCGAAGCCTTTGCCTTTGCAATTCGACCGCGTGTCCACGTACTGGCCCACAGCAAACCAGTCCGCTCGGATCTCTTCGCCCACAGGTAATAGGCCCTCTGCTCCGCGAACACGGAATTCCTTTTGATACCTCTTCGGACTTACTCCCTGAACGGAGTAATGCCCCAGCAGGGGTTTTGTGAGATTCTTCGGGTTTATCGTGCCGCTGCCGACACAGACGGCATAATAGCCGTGCCTCTTTCGTGTTTTGTGACTGACAACTTGATTCCGATCTAGCTGTAGCACTGTGCAGGCTATTCTCGTTCCGGATTCGACATCGTAGACCGCGGTCATACCCTTCTTGATCGCAAGTGCTCCTGTTCGTAAGGGAAGCGCGTCCGCTATGAGTTTCCGCTGGAAGGCAGCAGCGGGGGTAGCGTGTAGAGGCTCGATGCCTGGGACGACGTTGTACGGGTTTGGCGTTGGGTTTCTGTCTATTGAACGGATGCCCATGCACCGTTTCTGAGCGGTGTTGATTGACTTTCGGATTACTGAGCGAGGGAGGAGGAATGGAGGAGGCAAGGGGATGGCGACGAGCCTACAGGCTGTCGGTGGCATATTGGCGGAGGCGCAGGGGTGTGATGGAGAGCCAGATTTGAACCGCGTCGTTCTTCAATTGTCGAAATCTCGAAATCTGAAGCTCGATTCAGCAGCAAGCCAATCCTCCAACATTATTGGCTGTTTGTTTCGGCCAATCACAGTATCTGCTGTGCAGACCCACAACGGCTCACCCTTTCCACGACTTCGTGTTCACTTTCTTCGCAGGCTATCATCGTTACCAACAAATGATCTGCGCCCGCGCCAGCTTCTAAGAAATGCTATGGTTGGCTCGCGTGTGTAGCTTACACACTGGCGTGGGCCATGACTCTTCCGACCTCGTGTTCGGGCCCTGCGTCGAACGACGCACCCCAGGAACAAGTTGCGGGGTTGAGCTTTGTTTCCTCATCCAAGGCTTTGATTGAGCCTTGGTGAGTCCATGTGATATGCGTCCCCTCATTTCTTGGGCTTGGAAGGGTGGAAGGCACCGCAATGACTCTAAAGAGGGGTGGCCGCACTCTGATATGCTTTGGTCTTCACCTCTCGCCAAACTACCTTCTTCCAGGACAACTGTGAAAGCATCGTTTCGAAGGCTTCAAGTCACAGACGAGACAGGACCATCATGCAGCGACGCCCGTCCCTCGTCCCTGATCTCTTTCACATCAAGCGGACTACCGTGAAGGCTGGGTCTCTACCTTCGATTCTTACTGAGATCTGTGGCACCTACACCGACCTCGACTCCGCTCAAAAGGCCGCACTTCATCGGCTCGATGACGAAGGAATCTCTCGAACTTCACTGAGCGAGTACGTGCAGAATGACCTGACAAACCCCTCCTCGGACTGGAAGCATGGAGAAAACGTCGTCGTTCACGCCTCTAAAGGCGACGAGATTCATGACGTCGAAATCGAGACCACTCCCAACACCTTAGGCGTTCGCTCGAAACCAGGCGATGGCAGGGTCACGGACAATTTGTTCTATGTTCTTCGCACAGTCCAGTCCGCGGATGGAGCAACGCATACCGAGATACGAGGGATCCATCTGTCTCGGCAATCGGCTGTCACTGCTGCCAGATATGAGTTGGTAAGTGGTGACCGTAAGCAGGACTGGTACAGCCACTTCAAGGAAGAAGTGGGGGTCGGTCATCGGGAAGAGGACTTTGAAGGACAGCAACTTGTGGTGACTGCCACAGGACAGGATGGGAAGACATACATCGTCACTGTTGTTCATGAAAGTTGAAGTACAGAAGGCGGGAATGTCAGCGAGGGGAACCGGAGAGGAGATGACGCCTCGATGTATCTCGTGGACTTACAGAATGACTCATCAGGTAATGTATCTGTTCTATCAGTGAGTCCCGTCATTCCCTGATTTCATTACCTGTGTGAAGAAATTCGCTGCTTGCGAGGGATTCTTCGTCGTGATGTGGCAGGTTAGGCCATCCTTGTGACAGACGATTCCAGGCCTGACTCACCGATGGTAATGGGCCAGTTAATCTGCGTTCGATATGACTGTCCGGGGGCGCTTCTCGAAAGGACAAATACCTCCTTTGCCCTCTGCTCATCTGGCTTCTCGGTTTCTTCCCTCATCCCGCATCTGACTCGTTGGTGCTTGCGGACTTCGCTCTCTATATATATCCTATACCCACTCCAGTATGTCCTGATGCACACAACTCCTTCCTGAGTCCATTCGCGTTGCATCCACCCAGCAAAGTGTATGACCTGCCCTTTTGCACCTCCATCTTCGGTTTCTCATTCTGTCACTCACACTACTCACGTGCGATGCGTTACAGACCAGCCCGACGACACGCGTGACTCCGCCACCCCGAATCGCAACCGAATCAAGCGCGGCAGTCGGTCGATGCAAGCTCTAACCAGTCAGGGTGGCGTTCTAGCAGCAACCCGAGTCCACTACGAGTGCCCTGCGGGTCACAACAGTTGCCGCCACTGCCAGGAGGGTAAACGCGCAACTGCAGAGTGAGGTCGCGCGGCAGGTTCGCACCTGATCGTTGCTGTGTCGCATGCTGGTGTCACATACCTGGGCTGTCAGCAAGCAGTATGCCGCTGCTGCGGCACATCAGAAGTCATCTACATCTGCACGAGACATAGAGATCAAGCAGACACGACCTTCAGGGCCCGATCCCGTACTGCTTCGGCAGGGCACCGTTGGGCAGAGACTCGACTACTGACGGATTGCTACGGCAGCGTTGCTCTACTTCCGGTACACGGGGCTCGCCCTCGCGTTTGGTCACGGGCGTCATAAATCTCAAGCTTAGCGCCAAATCCGGGGAGTGGAGTTTGCCGGGAAGGGAGGTGCTTCACGTCTCCAGACCGCGCCGTCGAGAACTCAGAATTCCTATCTTAACGAGCCTGTATCGACCTTGTATCTTACAACTGACATTCTCTCTACCCGTTCTTCCCAGCAAAGTTCAACCTCTGCTCGGTGATTGTCCTTGGTGGCGACTTACAGCTCAATACACATCGGTGGGTGGTACGGGATGACACCAACTCCCTCCATTTCCGCCATGAGTGGATAATGCGGGAGTCCGCACGATGAGCATTCTGGGCAATGAAACCTACCAACAAAGACTACAAGATAGGGGATTGTTGCCGTTGGCCGAGGGAACTTTCACCTATCGTGGGCTCTGCACGCACAACCCTCTCGGTGACGGAGTCATTGTCAAGTTTGACCTTTCCGAGGAACAGCTTGAAGCCGTCGCTACAGAAGTCGTCGAGAAAAGAAGGCTAAAGGAACAGAAGGCTAAAGGAACAGAAGGCTAAAGGAACAGAAGGCTTATCAACGCAACAAAGGGAGCAAGAAGACGAGGCTTCCCTGCAGGAGGACCGAGCTCTTATTCCAAAGGTCGGTGCCGCCAGTGTGGAAGCTTTCAGCGGTTGACAGCCGGATGTTCGAAAACCTGTGGGCTGGGTTGCAAAATTGTTCTGGCGATCATCGCCTCTTCCCACTAACCGAAGGATGGAGCGCTACAAACAACCCCGTCTACAGTAGTCCAGAAGCCATGGGGAGGCGCTGGCATCTCCGTATCGAGTCGGCCTCCCTGCACCCCTTCCTCGACACCGACGTCTTGACTGGCCATCGCGTCGGTGAACGAGAGCTCGGTGCTTGACGAATCGAACAAGCGCGGTCGCTACCTTTCAAATCCTAGCAGAAGGCGGAGAGGATGGGGCCTACCCGCCTTGAGATCTGCGAGAAGCAACGGAACATTTGCATCTCGCGGTCGTTCCGTTCCTGGAATCGACCGAGGAGCTACGTTCGAAGTCATTCGTGACCGTCCATATCCTGCCGGTGTCATGTGAGCTTGGAAAACAGATTTGGCAACTGACAAGCGGCTTTCGCCATCTATCGTCGAAACGGACAAGCGAAAGCCGAAGCCGAAGCCTACCTTTGGGGTGTAGAAAACTCCGGCCAATTGCTCTCGCCATCTACCCACCAACATGCGCCTGGACAGGGTAACAGCCTGGCAAGGCTGTGTAACTGGTTCCAATTACACCAGCAGAATGGACCTTCGCGATCCTTCTATTCCCATTTGTGGAACAGGTGTTCTACCAGACCGAATTGTGCCAAGTACGAACCTACACCGAGGACTCTTCCTCTGCAGACTTTTCATGAACGAAGAAGATCTTCATTCCGACGGGATCCATGTGCCGCTACAATCACACATATAAAACGGAGATTCACTCGCAGCAATCTTGATGCGTCATGGAACGTGCTGTCAGGACAGCCCCAAGTGGTCAATCCGGGCTGCTGGCTCATGGATCTATGATCCCTAACAGCGCCTCAATGAATACTTTTGCTTGTCAGTCAGGACTCAGACATACCAAACAACGCGAGGGAGTGTTTCACCGTGGTACACGC